GAGGACACAATCATGTTCTTTGATGTGAAGAATCTTCATTCCAGTTGGATCCTGTGAGTCTACATCTATCTGCAAAGTCAAATCAGGACAGGCCATCCATAAAGTCAGCAGCAATATGCCCCAATACATGGCTCAAAAATCTTATCTTCATCTGGTTGGGTTCTGGTCAACTCAATGTGGGCGGCCTCACTTAGCTCACCAGGGTGCCCATTGGCCTCCTTGCCTTTAGACCATGGGTACTTTCACAAATTCTCAACAGCCCTAGCCCCCTCGGGTTAGGTCATCATCTTCAGACCAGCCAACCTGGTCTCATCTTCTCGTCTAGTACCTGTGAGCCAGGTACATGGGTGTCAGTGGTCAGAATCAACCCATTTCTATTGCTGTACTAGATGGTCTAAATTACTATTTTCTGATTTTTTTTCTTTCAGGCCTTCAAACAAGCTGGAGATATGGGAGGATCTGAAGATAATAAGTAAGCGCTCGTGTTCTGTGTGACATAGAGCCTTAATGCAGTGATGGGGTAATTTTGGTACTCTGTGATTCCTTTACCTGCCTCATAGAGTTGTTGTGAGGATTACATCAAATAATTCTCAGAAAGTAAATGGGTCAATATTCTGCCACAGAAAGTACCCGATAGGTGTAAGAGTTTTTATGATAATAATGACAATATTATAGCCTAAAGTACGTTTTTACGCCAACTTACATTTACTTTAATTTGTTATTGTTTGCAAAGTTTCATATTGATGACACTTTGAAATTAAAAATGACTTTGGTGGCTGTGAATAGCCTGGCTGTCAGAGAACATTGTAAAGTCCCTTATAGTAAATGTAGTTCAGTTAAAATGTAACACCTTATCTTTTGATCTCTTTTGACCCATTTAAAATTTGTTCCAGTTATTAATATCTTCTTCCTTTTTGATTGAGATTTTTCTCTGTTCTGTCCTTGTTTTTGGTTTGGTTTTGTCTCTTGTTTTTATTTTGTATGTATTTCCGTATATGAAAGCCAGCATAGATAAATCTGTAGAGAGATAACTGGATTAAAAATCGCCTGGGGTCATGGAAAGGGAGCTTGGGGTGGGGGTGGGGAACTAACAACAAAGACCGTAAGAAAGAAAGAAATGTTCTAAAATTGACTGGTGATGCCTGCACAAATCTTAATATAACTGAAATAGTGAACTTAATAATATGTGAGTTATATGCCAGTAAAACATTTTTTTAGAGAAAGAGGAAAAACTACCGTGGAGCCTAACGCTCTACCTGTCTCAGAACCTCCTTATACGTACTATCCCTCGCTGCTGTTTCCTCATTCACTCATCGTACCTTTATTGACTGTCTCAGAACCTCCTTATACGTACTATCCCTCGCTGCTGTTTCCTCATTCACTCATCGTGTCTTTATTGACTGTATGATGCTTCCTGACTTGTAAACAAATTCAACCCCTCTAGAGCCCTGGTCCTTATAAGTCAGAATCAGTTCTTTGGGTATTTGTTTCAGGACCCTGGTGGCCCAGTGGGCAAGCACTTGGCTGCTAACAGAAAAGACAGTGCTTCAAACCCACGAACCACTTTGTGGAAAAGAGGTGACAGCCTGCACAAAGGTGGCAGCCGTAGACACCCGGCCTCTAGGGTATTTCTGCTCTGTAGGGTCGGGATGAGTTGGAATCGACTTGGTAGCAATGAGTTTGGTTTGGGGTTCAGTCCCCTGTATTTCCTTTTGACTTGTACATTCTCACACCCCTCTGACCAAAGATCTTTCCATGACCTTTTTCCCTTCTCTCCCTTCTCTCTTGCAGGCACTGTAGCCTGCTTACACACTGGGTCTCCACCCAGACGCATCTCCACGGCCTGTGGTTTGCTTATGGTTCATTGCACACTTTTCTTATCCTGCTACACCTCTCCACAGACATCAACATCTTCACTCTCCTTTGTGTTAAATCTTGACCTTGGCAGCTGTGACTCCTACCCACGCTGTTTCCCTTATCTATCTGAACTGTCCTCCCACTAAACTGCTGGCCTGAGCACCTCTAAGAGTCCTATTGCTGCTTCCCTTGGTGCCTCCCAGGCCTTTCTTGTTTCCCTGCAGAAGGGACGAGGCATGCTATATAACTCTGGCACCTGTCATATTTGTATTAGCTATTGTTTTAAATAAAAAATCTTACCGGATAGGTGTTAGCAGGTGACAGAGTAATTATGAAATATTTTGAGCAGAGACATTTTGTACTTGCATCCATGGCAGACAGATTTTGAAAGTCACTTTATGAGAAAACAGCCATAGAGTTAGTTGGCTTGTGATTTTTATACATGTGCGTGTGCTGTAATAATAACACCAAGTGGTTGTCTTGCTTCCATGCAGGTTTCACAAGAAGTATTGTAGCTGTATACAGTACCTGTATGCTGGTGGTTCTTCTGAGAGTCCAGTTAAACATCATTGGTGGATACATATACTTGGACAACGCTGCAGTTGGCAAAAATGGCACTGTAAGTTTAATGCACGGACTAGTGCCCTTTTCTTTCAAAGGGTTCAAAATTTGATTGAATATCATTTTTCCTGCTGTCAGTAGCTATGAAATAAGTATCTTTATGCTTCAGATGATTGTGAAGTTGTAGCATTACTAATTTTTTCTATTTTAAAATGGAACCTTTTTGCATGTTAAAGTATATTATTTTTTCCTTTCATTCCAGGCCCCAAAATCTCAGTTCATGTTAATACTGAAAAGAATACTTATTTACTAAAATATAAAACAACTTGCCTAATAGAACCTTATCTCTATTACACAGACAATTCTTGCTCCCCCGGATGTCCAGCAGCAATATTTATCAAGTATCCAACACCTCCTTGGAGATGGTGAGATCCTCATGTGTGACCTTTAGACTCATTAATGGATTGGTTTATACAGTGAAGGCCTTTAAAAAGTGGGCCAGACTGTCAAGTTTGTTTGTTTTTCCCTCAGGCCTGACCGAACTGATCACAGTCATTAAACAAGCCGTGCAGAAGATTTTAGGAAGGTAAAACTGGAGTTCTGCTTTATCAGCCTTTTTAATTCTGATAAAGAAAACTTAGAATTATGATTCTAGTGAAGCTTAACTCATAGCAACTGGACAGGACAGAGGACATCTACTCCCTGGGGGTTCCGAGACTATAGGTCTTTACAGGAGCAGTGGCTGGTGTATCCAAACAGCTGATCTCGCAGTTAGCAGCCTAACTTATAACCCACTCTGCCACCAGGACTTCATTAATAAAACTAGTGACTTGGTAAAAGTTTAATACATATACCACCTTAGGATATTGGGTTGTGAAATCCTTTTCCTTCGTCAATATCAACCATTTAATACTGAGAGGGAAAACATGTTACTATATCATTGCTTAATGATTGATTTCTAAGTAAACAAAAAAGATTTGGGTTGTGAGATAAAAGACCTACTTAAAATCTCCTGAGATTTTTACATCTGGTTTACATACCAACGTTGGGCTATAATTGCAGTAAACGTTTTCTTGTGAAATTCCCTGTGGTGCTGCATTATAAAGCGGTGCCCGTTTCTCTTGGCTCCATGTGTGGTGGCTGGTCTCATCCAGTAATTTCACTGTGGACATTTCATAATTGACCGGCTGGAACAGGATTTCAGACCCTAGCCTAGGAAAAGTGTGTGTAGTGGGTGTTACCATTTTAACTTATCCTAATTCCCTTTTCTCTGTTCCTAGTGTTTCTCTGAAGCATTCTTTGTCCCTTTTGGACTTGGAGCAAAAACTAAAAGGCATCAGAAATCTCGTGGAGCAGCATAAATCCTCTTCTTGGATAAATAAAGATGGGTCCAAATCTCTGTTATGCCCTTATATGATGCCTGATGAAGAAACTCCGTTAGCAGTCCAGGTACTCCGTTCATAACTGCTTAACCAAGCACGTTATGCTGTATCTTTTAAGGTTTTTACTCTCTTTTGAAAAGTAAGTGTCTATGTGTCTCACACATGAATGCAATGGGTGTATTTCAGGACCGTAAGTAATATCCCATTCTTTAGAAAACAAGCCGCACATATGACTGATTTCCACTTGCATTTTCATTGAGTGTCGTTATGTGGTGGACCCTGTGATGTATGTCAGTGACATAAGTCAGGCATGCTTACTTCACCCAGGGAACTAGAGGCAAGTTCAATCTCATGTGCCTGGAGTGTATTTATGTAAGGTCAAGTTGCAGAGTAGAGTCAGAAACTGAGCCAAGATGGTGAAGACACTCGGTTAGCAGCTCTTCTTATGACCCTCCCACTCGGGCTCCTCTGAGACCATGAAGACTTTTATATGCTAAGATCAGGGATTGGGACTCCCATGATAGCCAAAGACAGCTGTCAGTCAGGCCACGGCACACTCAGATTTGCTTTTTTTTCAATCTTAAATAAATGATGGCCGTACGAAGGTGCCTGAAGAGTGTTGTAATCACTCAGATGGAAAGCACGGAGGCCGGCTCTAACAGCCGCCCACCAGGCTGGGGCTGCCCTGTTTTCTGGGCAGTAGGGATTGATTAGGAATAATAAACGCTAACCGGTTTGGGTTGTTTCTGTCATGATTACAAAATTAGTTGTTTGATTCATCCTTCGTAAGCTGGATCACACCATTCTTTGCAGTTGGAGGAGACTCCCTACTGTCACTCACTGGGCAATGGAGAAGTCTTAGAACAGAGAGACCTCAGTGCCCATTCCAACAAGCTGCTTGTTCCCATTACCTTAGGCTTCCTTGCCCCAAGAACCCTGGGTGGCACCTATGTGGGTATTGTGGTGCCCCACATGGATGACTAGGCAAAGGAATGTTTTAATCCACTGAAAGAAACCTCAGAATTTAGAGGTAAAGTCTAAATTGAACCAGCAGCAATTACTAGACGCTGCAGAGCAATACAATCTTATAGAATAGAACTCTCAAGGAGATGCAGTAAAATCGTTTGGTTTGGTTTTTTTAAAAAGAGTATTTCTGGAACAATATCCAAAGTTGAAAATTCAACAGGAGAGCAGAAGAAGACACTGATTAAGAGGAGCAGATAAAAAGGTGGTAGACCAGGACTTCCCTGAACTGAATTGAAACAAATGAAATTTGAAATTGAAAGGTGACACTCACTGAGCCCCAGAGGCTGTCGGTGAAAAAAGACACACACAGCCTGAGAAGGTGTCCGGAGTGTAAAGGGGGTGGCAGCGTGGGAGTCGGTGCTTGGAAACAAGTTCAGGTCCCTGCCTCTCCAGCACCTAGTCCATGTCTGTCTCCGCATACATACTAGAAACCTCAAGATAAAGATCTTCAAAGTAGAATTTTACTTTGGCTCATGTTTAAAACTCTACTTAACTGTGCACATGAACTTTTACTATTTTTCAGGATTCAGACTTTGTTTTGGATTGTTGATAGGACCTACCCAGACTTAAATTTCCTGGGCTCTTATTTATGACTGTGATTTGTTTATTACAACCCCTTGCTTCAGTTGAAGTGCTAACATGCAGCATTTGCTCTTTACAGGCCTGTGGACTCTCTCCTAGAGATGTTACCACGATTAAGCTACTCAATGAGACCAGGGACATGTTGGACAGGTATGTACTTGCGTGTAACACTATGCCACCAGGGCTCTTGCATGTAAATGTTTAACTGCCAGCTGTGGGAGAGGGCGTCCACAAATTATAGCCAATTCTGTGATGGTAACCATCTCAGAGAGGCGGAATTCAGGTCACCACCTGGAAATCACAGAAGGCTGAGTTGGGAGATGTACATAGATAGTCATCTCTTGAAAGACAGCCCCAGCTAACCTTCTCCCACACATTCATGCCCCATATTGAGAGCTGCTCCCTGAAACCTTTCAGGACATTGCTTACAAAAAAGTATTTCTCTTTTAAATCACCCCAAAGAGAGCTGAGCTGATGTGATGGGGAAAAATCAGCAAGCTGTGAGTCCAGAGACCTATATATGAGTTGATTCTCCAATTTCCAATGTGCTAAACTTCTGTTGAGCTTCTTAATCTCTATGTGGGAGTTTTATCATTATAAAAATGAGCAGTAATCACTGTCCTCTCCACTTTATCTTAAGTGATTGGAAAATGCCCAAGTTTCTTTTAAATTAAAGCTGTATCACTTTGTGGTAATATAAGTCCATTTTATCATGTTTGCATTCTATGGAGTGACATATTCTCATTTACATTTTTTCATGATCAAGGAGGAAACTGGCAAACATTTTGATTAACTCTGCTACTAAATGCTCTGTCTGAATTCACCAAATCTTCAACTTCAAAATTTGAGTCTCCTGACTTTCTAGACTAATGATCACCCCTTTTCTTTCTTATTCATGAAGATTTCCACCAGCCACTGCATGAAGCTCTAGAAAAGGGCAGCAGGGGTCTTTTGCCAAACCCCTTGACTGCACATGTTCATGTTCTGTGTCCCTTCTCTGAGGTGGACACTGTTGATCAAGTCTTTCTGAGGTTCATTTCTCTGAGGGCTTCCATGCTCGCGTCCTCTCCTCATTGCTCTCACCGCAAACGATTCTCCGTTCAGGTTCTTCCTTCCTCCCGTCCTTGAACATTAGTACTTCTAAGTACTTGGTTTTCTCCATCCACACACTGCTCTAAGCAACGTTATGCTCAATGCTTTTGCTGTCAGTGGTTGGTCAGTAACTTCTACATTTAGAGCCTTAGTCACATGCAGTCCCATGAATGACATGGCATGGATTAAAATCTCTGCATGTCAAAAATAGAACATAATTTGTTCATTAGCTTATTTGTTTCATTCCAATTTTTATGCATCAATTATTCATTGATCATTTATGGCCCTGTCCCAGGTGCTAGAAAATGTCAAATAAATTTAATTTTATTAATGAAAACTAAAGATGAGGGATAAACCCCTCAAGACCAATAATGAGAGTAGAGATACCAGGAGGGGAAGGGGAAGGTGGTGGGGGAAGGGGGCACCGATCACAATGATCTGCATATAACTTCCTCCCTGGGGGACAGATAACAGAAAAGTGGGTAAAGGGAAACATCGGACAGTATAAGACATGAAAAAATAATAACAATTTACAAATTATCAAGGGTTCGTAAGGGCGGGAGGGAGGGAGGAAGGATGGGGTGGAGAGAGGGGGAAACCTGAGGAGCTGATATCAAGAGCTCAAGTGGAGAGCAAATGTTTTGAGAATGAT